CAATATAGTTTTTTCCCCTGACACTACATGAGAACTCCGGGAAATACGCCTTTATTCATATGGAGCCTTGGAGGTATGAGCAAAGGTGCTCACTATGGGATAAGAAGGTAACTAGAGGAAGCTAAGGCAAGTCATTAACCCATTAATATATATATATATATATATATATATATATATTTTGTGGCCATTGACCGCTCACCATTGAGAGTGATGATACAATAAGCATGAATACGGAAGTCACAAGTATACGATCATGTATAAAAGTTGAAAGTAGAGTTAAGAAATGGTTAAATTGGTCATAGGGCTTAGAATAGAGCGTCCAGAATCAACTTGGAATGGTCGTGAAGGCCGTAATACGCTAACTCATGAGCTGTAGCAAATTAGACGCCTCCGTGCTCGTCCTCCTCCCACATTAAGGAGCGATGTCATTAAGAAATGGAATCAAGGCGAGTGTAAGGGCAATATCTGGCCATCACCTGAAATGATTAGTTTCGACGGAGATAATAGTACGACACCACTTAATCCCCTATAGACCCGAACAATAAACGAAATTGTAGAGAGTAAGAAGAAAGATCTAAGTAGTACTGGAGGTGAAACAACATAACTGAAGAGTAGTAGATGCACACCCAACCTCGATATGATGAGAGGTCAGATCTCTCTAAACGTATAGAAATACCATAAATGGCCACCTAGGTATTCCCAACCTGATGCGCAAAGCAAAAAAGGACACGTACAATAATCCAAAATGAAGGGTTCACGTGGCTAGAATAATGAAACAATTCCAAACCCATTGCAAAAAAAAAAAAAAAAGGAAAAAGAATAACCTAAGAACCAAAACTAATGGCCGTGTTTGGAATTGATCCCGTCTTTATTTTTCACATTTTTCGAGAGAAAAAATAAAAACGTTTTTAAAATGGTGTTTAGCGCAATAAAGACAAAATGAAAATGAAAATGATTTTTTGGTTTAGTGTAAAATGAGGGAGAAATAAAAAATGACTTTTTCATTTTTTGTTTTCGTTTCCTCCTCTCTCGAGCAAAGAGAGAAAGAGAGATATTCATGGGCTTTTTTTACACTGAAAATAATCTTTTGATAAAATTATCAAACGTATTTTTAAAAATGATTTATATTTAAGATTGAAAACGTTTTCATTTTTATTTTCATATAAAAAAAAAAAATTATTTTGAAACGAGTTTTAAACGCGCCTAATGTTTTTCTCGATAAAACACAACGAAAGATGTCTCAGAGTAGACGTAAAGATAAATCGTCATGAAATCCTAGGGTTAGCATAAAGTACAGGAAGTATGATGGAAAATTGTAGATCAGTCAGCTAAATTGACATGTCTTATGTTGATAAACCTCCTAAACACGCAGTAAAGGTTAACTGAACCATGCACAATAGGGATAGCTGAACAACATAAAGTTTAGTTAGTGACCAGCTGGGTCATAAATCCAGATCCACTCCTACCAAATCGTGCGACCAGAAAGGAACGACAATGGAGTTCACTACTGTAAGGCCCTCTACAGTCTACCCTTACTCATTAATTTCTATAATTAGCTTTTTGGTAATTCAATGGTTTTTGTATGGTATATGATTTTTATGATAACTCTAGTGAGATTTAACCTCCTTGATTCACCCACAATACATTAAACTTGTAAGTCGCGTACATACTCCCGTGATAGTTAAATAATTGGAGCAAAACTCATAAAATTAAATTTCGAATGGAATTTTAAATGCCGTAATCTTGCTCGGAGCGTCTAAATTAGCCAAGAAGGTAACTTTTGTAAAATTCTATTACAGGGCTAATCCTGTGATTTTGCCAAAGTTCGGTGCCAATAATATTATTTTTAGAAAATATGGTCACTAAAAATATGAATTTTAAAAATAGTTGGGCTACTTTTTGAAAGCTGATGGGTTTTGAGAAAGTTTCTGATGAAATGATTTCTAGTCACCACCCAACACCACCAATAGAAAATTAACCACACTAAAATTTAATTAGAAAAAGAAAACGAAAAGGAAATGGGTTATCAATTAACATCATACCCCATCTGATTGCAGAGTCTAAACTCCGCTCTCTTTCATCTCTCACTCTATTATCTACCATTCATGTAACTCTCACAAACCCTAACTAGAAATCCACCTCCCACGCCTCTAAACTTCAAATTTCTTCACTCTTTCTCTTCCTAATCTATAGAGGAACCAAACCCTTACTTCTTTTTATGGTTTTGAGCACGTTTGGCAGCCCTAAAACTCTCCTAAAGTTGCTATGAAAGTGGAATCCGAGAAAGAGATTGAAACTTCTTCGACATAGAGTTCGGTTTTTGTAAGGATACTCTCTCAATCACTCTCCAAAGATGTCTTCCTCTATGAGCAGCAACTAACCCGGATTTTCTTGTGTTTTGTCTTCCATATTATTCCTCAAAATCATCCACCTATGACTGGCCATATCATTGTCTTTAAAGTTAGCAACCCGAACTTTCGGTTGATCTTAAGTTTTAAATTTTTAATTTTTTGGGATGTTTTTCATACTATTTTGTCTCAGCCATTATTTTTCCTTTAAAATAGAAATCCTAAACTTTAAGTGGGTTAAAGAATCATGTATCTATGGATTGTGTATAACAAAAAATTTTACAAAACTTTTGAAACACTATATAGAATATATTAATTTAGACCAATTAGAATCGGATTAGGAATTATACTCAGCGACCAATTAGGATGATAACTTAAGTTCTCTGACCACGAACAATCCTTGCTCCGCGCTTATTTAGAATACCCGAATCTTTCTCATCAATTCCTTAAATCTACGAAAAACGTGTGTAGACACTCCTGAAATAAAATAGGATTAACACTCAAAACACTCATGTCTTCCATGAACATCAACACATGTACAATGTGGAACATGGAATGAAGAGCTTTTCTTCTCTTTTTCACAGTAAAATTCGGCCACCCTAACATACAAGGTTACATAGCTACTAATATCACATAATAAAGATATATGTGTATGGGGGGAGGGACCTCATACCTGCCATATTAGGGGTGGGTATTGTTGGAAAATGGCTTGTTTAAGCATTGTTAAGCCATATTAAAGGCCCGGCAGGTTTGGGGTCCAATGTGTGCGCCCGCGACCTGCGGACACGAATACCGAACTGGAAAACTCACTCCGTGCGAGCTAAGTTTTTATAATTTTTTTATTTTTTCCGCTCAAGATCTTCCAGCTGTTTGACCTAAGATTAATGAGCATAATGGGTCTTAATGGTGATCAATGGAGGAAAACTGAAATAAGCCATGGTTAATAACCTTAATGGCATCAGTTTTTCTTCATAAAAGTCTGAACCTTGCTGTACAAGGTGGCCGGATTCATTTTCAAGGAAATGAATGGTTTTTGGCCTGTAATAATGTGATATTAAGCCCCATAATTGCTTGTTTCGAAACGCCTTCTCAAGAGCCTATATAAAGGGTTCTCCACATGAAGGAAGAACACACTCATTCGAAATCTCTTCTCCTCTCTCTCGGCTCTCTCTTTTCCAAGTTCTTTGTGCATCTTCTTTTGTAGTTCAGTTTTGGTGATAGAGGGAAGGTCCGAGTTCTAGTTCGCCGGACGGTTCCGATAGTGCTTCAAGCTACCGTTGTTGTCGTTGTATCCTGGAAGATGGATGTCCAACGTTGCCTCAAGCACTCGCCAAAGGGGACGAATCTGTTTTAAGGAAAGCATGGTTCACGTGCCTCGACATCCTTACAATTTCGGTTTTCAAATTTTGGTACAAAGGTTGAATTCGTGTTGTAATTATTTTATTATTTCGTTCATCCATAAGTTGTTGTTCTTCTTTGTATTTTCCAAATTTTTGCTAACAGGTACCCGCAAACACATACCCGTGGGTGAAAATCGCTAGAAGGTTTCATCAGGTGGTCATATGCCTCTATAATGGAGGAGTTGACAAAAGCAACAAAGGGCGGAGCCAAAAAGAATAGATATATAATTTCACATTTTAATGGAGGGCAGCGACATAATTTCAAAGGGGCACAAATTTTAACAAAATATGCATGTCAAGAAAACAAATGCCTTGTTTGGAGTTGGTTTTGTTTTTGTCTTTTACGTTTTTTGAGAAAAAAAAATGAAAACATGAGAGAAACGGCGTTTGACACAATTAAAGACAAAAAAGGGAAATAAAAATGATTTTTTAATTTAGTGTAAAATGAAAGAGAAATGAAAAATGATTTTTAGTCGTTTTTCATTTTTTGTTTCCGATTTCTCCTCTCTCGAGCACACACAGAGAGAGACATTAATAGATTTTTTTATACTGAAAACAATCTCATAATAAAATTATCAAATGCATTTTAAAAAATAATTTCTGTTTGAGTTTGAAAATATTTTTATTTCTATTTTCATATAAAAAACAAAATTATTTTAAAACGAATTCCACACTTAAAAGGTGAGACGATCCATTCTCGGGAAACTGCGGTTACGTTCGACCGTGGAAATGACCCGGACAAAGATGCAAGCAGTGTGAAACCTTGGTTGAAACAATCCATCCCGTGTCCGACATTGGAGGGTTATTTTTGTTTATTTTTCTATTGTTCTCATTATGGTATACTTCCAAATCATATGTTAATGGAGAAAAGGTCAAAAAAACAAACAAAAAAAAAAAAAAACAAACTTAGCATAAATTTAAAATTTGAAAAGTACAACTTTGCAATTCCCCAAAAGAAGAGCGAGTTCTCGATATCCTTAAAACATAAATAGGATACAATTTTACAAAAATATAAATAAAAATAAATAAAAGCCCAATTCATCGTAACCACAAAAAACATGTAAGACCCATTTAGTTTGTTAATTTAAATTTTTTATTCGAGTTAAGATGTGACTTTATGTAAAAAAATTTTATTGTAATAAAAAAGTTAAATATAACTATTTTTAAAAAAATTTTACTATAACAAAACTAAAATTCTAAACTCAAATATGTGAAATGAACAGAACTCTAATCATGAGTGGAAAACAAATTTTCATATGCATTGACAATTTACTTTCATTTACAGCAATTCTTTTTTTTTTTTTCCTTACAATGGGGTAAGTAATATATAAACAACAGTGCCTTCAAATACGTAAAGTTACAGAATCAAGAGAGATTGTCTACCTATGATCCTTTGATCACATACTCAAGTAATACGCTCAAATCAAGAGGAACAAGCTTGAGCAAAATAAGCTGAACCACTTGATTCATACGACAGCCTAGAAGAGAACAGGGACTTTACACTTCAATAAGCCTTGGTCAAATAGTGTATGTGACGAACAAATTCTTGGCAAAAAAATAACCGTCTTTGCAAGGTTCTCAGGTTCTTGTAGTAGAAATATTTTTACAATAAAATTCTGCAAGAGGAAATTGAAGAATCGTCAGTACAGAAAAACAACTAAAATTCTCAAAACACTAATGACAAAATAGAACAATCATAATATGTAAAGGAGTGAAGAAGAAAAAAAAAAGGAGAGAGAGAGAGAGAGAGAAAACGTTGATGTAGATGAGGCACAAAAACTAATTCAAAGAGTTAAAGCCTGTAGCTAATATGTTCATAGCAACTATAATTGTTGCCTCTTTCAACTTTAATTTATGGAATTGTATGCAAAAATATGAACACCCATGAGAATGTTTGCAGACAAATTTCCACGTTTCGTGCCCGAGTGAGAAGAGATTCCTTTTGTGATATGTCCATGTGAAATAGTCAGAAACTAGTATTTTCAACCCAATACCAGCAAAATGAAACACCACAACCCGCATGTTTGTACCTTAAAAAGGCCTATGAAAGAAGCATCAAGATGAAGTCCAATTCTTAATCTTGAGCCAGCTGAACAATCCAACTGTTTCAATGCAAATGATACAAGCTACGAATAAATCCTTACACTCACATTCCTTCCAATTGAGTATATACTCCAGAATGGCCAACGAAAAATTATAACTGCCAGAGAACATGAGATTACTTGGTGTCCGAACTAAAAGGTAAAAGAGCCAACTTACAAGATTTGAAACGTTATACCTCAATTTACAAGATTTGAAACATTACCTTTCATTCCCCAGTCCAATGTATTAATTCACTGCGAGGTACACATAGCTTTCCCGCCCGCTCTTCGGCTTCAACGTCATTAACTATCCCCCGACATCTTGGGAACCCACAATAACATGCTAGTTGTTCATCAATTGAGAAAAATCTGCAATATAAAAGAAACTTAGCATGATAGAAAAACATGGTGAAGAAATGCATTCAGTCTGGTTGTGTAAAACATAAAACCTATAATCATATGTCAGTTCTTCCCATCTTTTGATGTCTCTTTTTGCAAAAATGATAATGTGCTCGTCCCCATTGACACTTATGACCCTTGAATAGCAATTTGGCTGCACACGGGAAGAGTTAAATATGCATGTAATCAATAAATGTTGATTATTCAGACAATTTTTTAAAACCAATTAATATGGTAAGTGAATTGCAATCAATTTTTTGATACCACTCCCAAATTGAAAAGTACTCAAGCTCCAAAAGTTGGCATTAAAAAGTTGATATAGAAGTCGGTTCTGCATAGATTGTTCAAATAATAAAATATTCTATGCCATCCTATACCTTCAGCCTAACATATCTCTTCATAGTAAGTGATTACAAGGTAACAATTTTGTCAACTAGCAGCATAATTCTACCAAAATAACTTGTAGCGAAGGACAGAAGATTTCGAAGCAGCTTTGTGGCAATGTAACTTTTGCATATAATTTAGCTTCTAAATGTTTGGTTGCCAATTCTATCAAGCACATCGGACTATCAGAAGTATGAAGACGTCCTCTATAAAGCAACTCACAAGAACATGAAAAAAAAAAAAAAAAAGAAAAGTTAAAAGCAGAAGCAAAGCAATGTAATAATAGTACGCACTTCACAAGAATGATTGATTAGATGAGCAATGCTTCCGGCCCTTGTGGCATCAATAACACGTTCATCGTCAATTCGAAACATATAAGTCCCAGCACCCTGTGCATTATGAAGGCAGTCAACACCTTTCCAAGGTAAGCAGTTTGTTTCTTTCTTTGTTTTTAATTTCTTAAAAGCAGAAGAATATATTATCATAGAACAAAAGAAACAACAGGGAGGAACAACAAAATACGTTTTACAAACTATAGATCCTAGCAAGTTCCATCGTAACTGTGAGCACCTCAACAAGTAATTTCTATTAACTTACCACGAGTGAATTGTATATAAACCGTTCTCTTCTGTCAGCAATCGGAGGTCTAACAAGTTCTCCTGTGTATTCAATCACCTATAAGAGAGAATTTATGACTCATTATATATTTTTAATATGCCTTGGGTAAAAGATAATTATGTAAATTATGATTCATTATAAATTTGTAATATGCCTTGGGTAAAAGTTCATGATGTAAATTACACTTTTCATTTACCATGTCCCCTGCTCTATGTGGAAGCTTTGCAAAGATGCCAAATCCATGAATTCCTGATTTCCCTGTGAGAAACAAAATGCAATTATCTTAGATGCTGTATTGTATAAATCTCTCCTTCGTATGTATGCAGAATTATACAGGTTGTCCCATGAGCAATGACATCTTAAGCTTAAGAGTCAGTATACTGATAATACTAAGAATGATATAACACAGAAGATTGCAGAAAAAAGGCAGAAAGCAATACAAATGGTTGAACTGTTTGGTGACATCAACCAATACAATCAATAGTCATTCACACAACCATGTGAGTAAGAAATTTTCTAATGGAAATAATTTCTTATAAAGCATACTCAACTATAATAGACTTTTAGACATGTTTTCTTCTACATTCCTAGTATTCTCAAGGTTGAGCAAGTCATAATCACATTCACAACGACATTCAAAGACACAAATGAAGCATATTAAGAGAAATTGGAGCATTATGTTTAGAAAATTTTAAATACTAATATGCAGTTTTGGCATTTTCAGCCACACAGAATGTGGGCAGGCACGCGAGCATGTGTAGATTAAGAGAAATTATTATTTATACCAAAAGCTAGTCTCTTGCGGAAGGTCTCCCTCATGTACTTGTATTTCTCAGCCATGGAAAGTATATTATTGGGAGGATCAAGCTGACTGATTTTGAGCCTTAGAAGTTTAGAGCAGAACTTAGAGCCCACAACCCCATTAAAAGTGCCAAAACCATGCTGAGTATGACCACTGACTAAGTAAGGCTGGTTTTCTACAAACAAGCGCTTCAAGGATGCAGCAGCTAGAGCTTCAGGTTCCTTCCGCCCTCTCCTACCAAAGTAGTTGTAGGGCTCTACACAAGAATGGAAACAAAGATCATAATCCAGAAAGTAAGTGTGGCAAATAAAAATAGCTACATATAGATAAGGAATGCATGTGCATTGCAAATGAGAATAAAAAAATTAATCAAACTACCAGAAAATATAGGCTAGAAAGTCATGTAATCCCTTTTATCTCTCAGCCAAAATTTAACAAGGACCTATTAAACACTTCATGAAAAATATAGAAGTATGGACCCAACCTCAACGAGAAGTGAAGAACTAATGTTGCCGCACCAAATCAATCAAGGTCAGTTTTGGGCTGTTTTAATCATCATGGACCAAAGTGGGATATGGTATAAAGTTCAGGGACAATTTTTGAGATAAACCATTCTTTCTAATGATGTTTTTGTTTCTTCACCAAAATAATAAATAGATAAATAAAAAGAGGCTTCACAATGAACGTGGATCAAAAGCCCAAAATTCTTCTAGAAAACAAATACTTGGACTTTCTATATGCACAAAAGAAAGTGAGAACCAAAAGGAAAAGGCCAAGTACATCTGGCAAGAAACTACCAACAAAATTATTATGTGACTCATCTAAAGATTACTATAAATCAAGTTCTTAGTCTCAAGGTGTGATAATCATCTAATTGAACCTACCACTTCGAGCACAGCCAGAAGGATTAGATGGCGGAATGAAGTCTGAGCACTGACGTGCAGTTTGTGGAATCCGATCATCAGCAGCTGAACGCTCATTAGATGGCTGCCTATGCCTCTTGCAAAACGAAAGAAGACGAATACATTGATCTTCTTCCTCATCCTCAAAAGAGAGGAGATGAAGTCTGTCTTCATCCTCAAGCTATGCAAATGTAGAAGTATATATTATAAATAAAGAAATAAAAAAGATAAGCAGGATGTTGCAAGCCACACAATCTACAAACAGAATCAAATACCAAATCCAGCAAGTTGTTGAACAAACAAATAAATAAATAAACTATAGGCATGTATATAATAGAGGAGAAAGATGCCTCAACACAAAGATCAGCAGCCCGTGCACAGAGTGGATGATATGCCACACGACAACTGTTGTTTGAACACTGCAGAAAACAAAAGAAAGAGGGGTTCAGTTGCACGCCATTAAAGCACTTCAAAATTGGAATTTATCCAACTTAGGACAATGCATACCAAAAGAGGCAAGTACACTATGTACGCTATATAAATGAACTGCTAATGAGCTAATTTTTACTATCAAGGGTTGTTCCAGGCATAGAGGAGTAAACAGTCGCATGCTGCTTTATTTACTGTACTTCACTTGTGACCTAGGATAGATGATCAGGGAACTGGAGGAAGTATACATCCATTTCATGAGCCATCAGAGCACCCTTTTTTGGAATATAAATCATGTAAAATGGCAGAAAAATCTTTCCCCGTGAAATCTTTAGAAAATTATTTACTGACCCCAAGGATTGTGGACAAATCACAACTAAAGATTTTCTGTGTAAGGAAAACCACTGGTTTTTGAATGAGAATAAAAGTGGCTATATATTGGAGATCCATTTGAAAGCAACTGGAAGTAGGATTTCAATATTCTAACAAGGCTTGACTAAGACTTAGGCTTAGTTTGGTATTGCTGTAGATTTTGAAAAAATTGCTTTTAGCTGTGCTAAAAGAAAAAGCAACTGCTACAAAAAGCAACTGAATATTTAGTAAACTATAATTATAGTAGTTGTACTGATTTCAAAATCAGTGTAATAGCGTTTGGTAAATTATGAGGTTAAAATACTATGAATATTTAAAAATTATGATGATATTATATTATACTATAATATAATAGATATAATTACAATATAATATATATTTATTATTATATTTAATATAATAAAAAAAACTATTATTATATAATATATTATATAATTATGATATAGAATATAATAAAATTATTAAAATAATAACTGAAATAATTAAAAATAACAATTATATTATATTATAGTATAATATAATATATATAATTACAATATAATGTATATTTATTATTATATTTAATAT